TTTCTCTAAATTCAAAAGCTTTCTTAGCTCAATCAGATCACTTTCAGATTTATGAAACTTCTCAGTTAAATCCTTTGTCTCTGTATTATTCCTTGGAGAGTTTTTCTCAATTGAAAGTGCACTTCTAACCTCTTTGAGTTTATTGAAAAGATCTTTATTAGTTTTACTCCAAGTCTTCAAATTCTCATCATTATCTTTGATACCAATTGATAGTCCCTATGATGATCAATCTTCAATCTTCAAGTAATAATCCATGGCAGAATCAGATTTAACAATCAAGAAAATTGAGAGGAGATTTGATAGAGAATGTCAAAATAGTCAAAGCTCTATATTTCTCAAATGCATACGTATCTTTACAAAATGAACCTCTCTGCTTACAATTACAAAGACAACACCTTATTTATAGGATCAAACCTTTAAACATAGTCAAAGTCAAACCTGCCTAAGAAAAGTCAGACACGATAACTTTTACAATTATAGACAATATTTAACTTTCTAGACGAATACAATTTAATACTGATTTTCAGTCATAACATAGACTCTTTGGAAATCAAAAGAGATCGGAGTGGGAACTTACCAACATTATTCAGAATGCTATCATTCAAAGGGTGGCTTGGAGGAATAGGTCCAAAAACTCTATGGTGCTTAATGATGATCCTTAATTAGTTGAGGTTGCCATGTTTTGGTGGTGCTGCTTTTGGAGCTGGTCCTTCATCATCTTCTTTAGCTCCTGGTTTATTTCTGTTAGTCTTTGTCTTTTCTAGTACTGTCTTGGTTTGTTATTTCCAAGTTCTTTTGTTGTGTTGTTGGACTTTGTAGTTTTTGACCTTTTCGTTGTTTAATATATAGCCTGGAGTTTTTCCGCTAAAAAAACAGTTTCAACTCAAAACATCCAAATAAGTAAATTACGTTTTTCTTTTCTATAGTTTGTTAAAAGTTATGATTTTTGTTCTTGTGGTTTAGATATTACGATTTTTGTATCAATAGTTTGTAAATCATTGTTTTTTTCGTTCTTATGATTTATAATTTATTGTTGTTTCAGTTGTTTTGGTTTAAAATTCTTTACTAATTTGGTCTCTTATATTTAAAAAGGGTAAAAATAGTTTAGGGACGAAATTAGCAAGAAATTAAAAATCTTAAGAACGAAAACCATAATTTCTAACCGCAAGGACGAAAAATGCAATTTTTATCAAACCATAGGGACGAAATACATAATTTACTCCATCATGAGGTGGGATGTGCAATTGGCGAGATGAGGTGCGAGATCCTACTCGCCTTCAATTCGTGACTTGTTTTAATTCCCACTTGTTTCTTCCATTGACCCTACTCAGCTTCTTGTTTTCCTTCCTGAACAAACTTCCATCTCTCTATCCACTAACACCACACTCATTTCTTTCTCTCATCTTCAATCTCTCTCGCCAGCTACAATGGTGGAAAGCTATCTAGGTGAGGAGTTCAATCTAACAGGGAAGAATCCCAGCGATGAAGCTTTGAAGAGATGGCGCAAGGCCGTCACTCTCGTCAAAAACCACAGCCGAAGATTCCGTCATGTTGCCGACCTCGATAAACGATCTATTCATCAGGACAGATTTACCAAAATCAAGGTTTCATTCTTCTCCCTTCATCTTCCAACACCCTGTTTACTTATTTTTTGTTAGATTCGGATCTCTGTATTTTTATGCGTATTTTCTCTGTGTGAAACAAAAACTAAATCAATGGAACTTGTCTGCAAAATACAAATGGCAACACAACAATAATCAACGAAGATGAACTATACTGGTTCCTGATTGGATCATGTTGAAAATGGGTTGGATTCTAAAAAGCAACTTATATTGATATATTTTTCCTTTGCTTCAAACTTTTGGGGGTGTGCATTTCGTCGCCATGACTTCCGTCGCTATTTTAAGAGATAATTGTACGCTATAATTTAGGGAAACACTATTTCCAGCGCGATTATCATCATTGCTGAAGAACATACTCGAATGAAATTAAAATTAAAATTATCAATGTTCTCTCAGAAACAGTGAATTCTTCGTTACTGATAACTTATTGAAAATACCTAAAAATTATTGTGATTCTTGTAAGAACATACTTTGATAATTTTTAACATCATTGTTTTTATTCTTACTTTTGATATTGCTTTCACTGTTACGTGAGATATCGATTATAATACTATTGTTTATGACTTTATATGGTGGAAATCATTGAGGAAGCTCAAATCATATATATATATATATATATATATATATAGGGTTGGGTTCACGTGAGACCAAGGGTTTTTCGTGAGACCCGTAAGACCAATTTATGTTCATTGATTAAATTTATGAATTAATGATCTAATGGTTGCAAGGTGGCAATTTCGTAATTAGTGAGAAGTCTCATGGCGTTTATAAATGTTCAGATCTGACGATTATAAATCTAATCCAAGGGTTGAGAATTGGTCTTACGGGTCTCACGAAAAACCATTGGTCTCACATGATCCCAAGTCTATATATATATATANTATATATATATATATATATATATATATATATATATATATATATAGAGGAGCGTTCAAATAAAAACCTGTTACATTTATGTAAACCGTGTAAACCAATCTTATCCATCCATTTTCTTGATCAATGACCAAGATTAGTTTACTTTATTTTAGTAAATTAAAAAAAAAAATATATATATATATATATATTAAAATTTTATTTTATTTCTACAGTAAGGGCAAAAATGGTAAACAAAATTTAACATTTGGTAACATCCTTCTCGATATTAATGACACTATTTTCATTTTTTAAAACAATATATTATTTTTAATTTTAAATCACATCCATCAATAAAACATATAAAAAAAATGAATATAATACATCATATTCAATTATATGGAATGAATCATTTTAAATTTTAAATTATATTATATGAACGAAATTGATTTCACCATGAAAATGTTTCGGTTCACATAATTTATTTGCAACAAGACCTTGTTTCACGTTCATGAAACTTGTTTCATTTTCCTTTTCATAATTTATTTTCAAAATGCACCGGTTTTATTTTTTTCCTTTTCATCAACAAAATGGATCAACTACACCATCAATGCAACGGTTTCATCATAAAAATATTTTAGTTCACCTAATTTATTTGCAACATGAATCGGTTTAACGTTCATGAAACCTGTTTCATTTTCCTTTTCATAATTTTTTTCAAAATACACCGGTTTCATTTTGCTTCTCATAAAAAAAAAGATTAACTACACCATCAATGTAACGGGTTCACCATAAAAATGTTTTAGTTCACCTAATTTCTTTGTAACATGAACCGGTTTCACGTTTATGAAACCTGTTTCATTTTGTGGATTTTTTTTGTTCATCTACGTTTTGATGATTTCATTCTATAATTCAATTGTTTCATCAAGACACGACTCATGACAATATATGAAATCTAAATTTTTAATATTTTAATATAATTAAATATTTAAATGTTACCATTTATACAATTTCTTTTATTACGTTTCTTTAATTAAGATTTATTAATAACTTCCATATTTAATAGAAAATATTGTAAATGACCGAAATACCTTTATTGATTAAATTTAATTAGAAAAAAATGGAATTTTACTATTGGTCGAAATTAGTTTACACGGTTTCTTAAAAATACACGGTTTTCATTTGAACGCGCCCTTATAGTTATATGTATATATATATGTATATATATATATATATATATATATATATATATAGGGTTGGCACGTAAGACAGACTGTTTTCGTGAGGCCATCATTTATATATATATATAGGGTATATTTCTTTTAGTGAATACTGTTGGAACCTGTTATTGTCCGTGACTCTGTTTCTTATCGTCGGCACTCTGCTCATGTTAGCGGAATGCGCGTTAATGTCTCGTACATTTATTAGTTCAATAACAATACCATATTTTTATTACTCGCGAGATGAAGCTGTTGTCACCAATCGCCACATGGACCCATTTAACAATAAGAGGATGGGATCATGGTAATGGTGGACGGTCGCGGACCTTTTAATAAATAAAGCTTTATGACAATAAGATACAGAATAAGATGCTGATGCCCCCTTAACTTTATGTAGACTTACGATTCCCCACCCATTAGTTTATGATGAAGACTTGGGTGGGATTGTAACTTTGTTTCGGAAAGCACTTCTCACTCAAAAAAGGGAAATTGACATGTTGGTCCGAAAATAGCTTTTGAATGTTTTAAAAAATATGGGTAAGGAACCATATTCGTTTCATTGAAAATTTTATCATCTATCTGTTTACTTTAAAGTGTTGGATATGAGATTTAAATTCATGATCTTTGAGTAATCACATATAACACTCACAGCGTCTATCTCCAACCTTCACAATAACTTTTATATCTTTTGTTAATATTTCGGCTCTTTAGATATGCATCCTTAAAAATACTACAAAGAATCTTCTAATGTTGGATGGATGTTTTAATTTTGTAGATAAGAATATGTTTATTGTTAGTAATGTTACATCGACCTGGCCTAGCTCCAAATCAATGTGCCCATTGTTTTCATGAGATTTAGTCAAATTATGTAGGCATTTTAATTTTAAATATCTAGTCTAGTTTGGTGTTCTATTGTTATGTCTATAGTATTTGATACGACTTGATTAGAGGGAGGTTGTAGCCCTTAACTACAACACCTTAGTTGGTATAACCTCTCAACTGAGACAACTTCTTGATCCTAACTAACATACATGCTTTAGTGGATTTGGTTAAGCACTTAAGTTGATGCTAAAATGTGTTACCCTCTTAGAAAGATATAAGGTTAATTCTCAAATAAAGAAAACTTCTTGTCCCTAACTAACTAACTAACATATATGCTTTTAATGAATTTGGTTAAGAAATTAAGTCGATGATAAGATGTAGGTAATTTCTTAGAAAGAGAAAATGTCTTAAGTAAACTAAGGCAAACAATGGAATATGTTTAATTTTCTTAAGAAGATATTAATTAATATGAGATGAAAGTTTTTGAGATTCATAAACACACCCACTTCATGCACTAAGCTAGTTTTCATGTTGAATTGGGTTTTCTTTATTAAGAACAAAGTATCTGTAGAATTAAAGTCAAAATACTGAGGCATTTTGTTATACAATTACAGGACCATCTTCTTTTCTAGATATAACATTAATGGGTTTCTTGAAATCACAGGCACCTATCATTTATTAGTAGACTTTGTCTTGGGGGATGAACTTGTTACTTGGATTGGATGACATAATGCCGTGCCCACCAGAAGTTCGTTCGTTTTTTATTTTCAATAATTTTGAAAATTTCACCCTCTCTTCCTGATCCTATTGATGGAAATTGAAAGTGGACCCCGAATAAGTTGGCTTGTCATACCTTAGATATCAACAACCAACTGAATTATCGTGTGGCCACAATAATTTTAAAGGATTTGGAGTTTGTCAAAGGATTTGAAATTAAAGGGATTTGAAATCTTTGATGTAAAATATAATTCCATTTTTTATAAATACAAACTATAAATAATTAAATTATTTTTTATTAACAAATTATTAGACAATAAATGTCTTAAGCATATTTTAAAACATTATTATAAACAAATCCTACAAAATCCCGTGAAACCCCAACCACCCCCGAAGAATTTCAAATCCTATGTTTGAAGGATTTCAACAGAATCCTAGGATTCTAGATCCAAACAATCCTGCATACCAAACACGAGATTTGAATGGATTTAAAATCCAATTTTATTTCATTCCTGCAAACTAAACGGATCCGTAGATTATCGTCATGGTTGGAGATGATTAGTCTAAATACTATAAATTTGAGTCCTAGAGTTTAGCTCTAATACTATATTTAGCATTTGTAGTTGAAGATGTTCTAAAACATGTATATTAAATATGTATATTTATGTAATTCGTATAATCAATCAAGGGGTAGAACACAATTAGTTTAACAATCTTATTTTTGGAAGATTTGTTTCCTTTAACCATTTTCCAAACCATTCATTCCCGGAACCGAAGAAGATAATTGGTAGAAGATAAATTGTAACAAAGAAAAATGACAAGTTTTATGCTTGTTGAAATGTGTTCTTTTTTTTAGTTTTATCTCTCAAATTTGCCTCTTCTAATTTTATTGGTTCTATCAATTGCGAAAACCGTGTATAACAATATATACTATAATTCAATATCAAAATTAATTAATGAATCATTGTGCTCAACAAAAACTTATGGTTCTTACTGAACATTAAAAAAAAGATAGACGCTACTCTCTAAGACCTCCTTATCGTGTTGGTCATGATAGGATAGGAGAGGTAAAAATAAATCTTAATGGGCAAATGAACCGAACTTCTACTATTGGGATGGGATGGGATATATCAAAAAAGACTCTTATTGAATTAATTCAAATATCAGAGAGATAGCCCTTTTATTTAATCGATATTTTGAAAAAAGATCATTAGAGACAGGACAGAGACGAAGTTTCCTTGAACTTTCCCTCCTCTTTTTGACATAGACAGACATGAGTTGGCCTTGTCACAATCAACTTACAGTGTAGAAAACTCACATAGAAAAAGACATTAATTAATGTTGTAGACGTATAGTATGGTTCCTCATGCGGGTTATTAATATTTATCATATATATAAATATTTATATCTAAAATAACAATAAATAATAAAATAATTTAACTATTCAGCATGCTGGGTTGAGTTCCTATAAGGAGAGTTAAGATGAAAATAGGGTTAAAGTAAGAAGCGTAATAAGAGATCTCTACTCTTGGATTACATTAGGATGAGATGCACCGAACCAATTCTCATATCAAGCGCGATTCATTGGAGATTAAAGGTAATCAAAGGTTTAAATTATTTCTTACGCTTCTCATCTTAACTCTTCCTGTCAAAAGCATATAAGATAACATTATGTTTATACCAACCATAATCTCACATCGTGCTGTTATAACCTTAAATTTACTTTTCTTGAAATTGTGGTCATAAAACAATTGTTACTCTGTGCATCCTAAACTAAAGAAAGGTCTAGAATATATAAAAAATGATATATAATTTTAGACATATATAATTATTATACTTTTTAATTAAACTTATAATAACCTTACTCTTATTTACTTTCTCTCTTGTCACAACTTTTCAATATGTGTGGTTAATTAAAGGTCGTTTTCAGAATTTAGTTATATATCTTTTGGGATTTTTTAGACAAATATAAGTAAAAATGTGGAACATTATTTAATGATGGACAAAATATTATTAAATATATTAGTTTGGCCAGCGTACACATTTTCATGTTCCCAAAAAATGTCTATTTGCTGGTGCCCAGGACCCAATTCCTATGCGTGTTTGGATGTTTGCGCCAACAGTGCCACCACGTGACTTTCATCATAAGTAACATATCAATGAATTAATGAAGAAAATAGATTAATGAGTGTTTTGGTTTCAATTACATGGTAAACTGATTAACCAATTTTTTTAATTATAAATACATGTTGAAATGTCAGTTGTGCAAATTGTATATTCATATTAAAATTAGTAATTAAAATACAACTAATGATAATTCATAATTAAAATCTATTTAATTAATATATTATGAGTATAATTAAAAAAATAAAAAGGCGATTGTTTACATTAATTAAAGAGTAAAATACACAAAATAACAATCTATTTTCATAATTTTTTTTATTATAGCATTATACTTTCAGTTTTTCTTATTATAACAATGTACTTTCTTTACTCATTATAGCATTGGGTAATTTTTTGATTTAAATTTACCCATTATACCAGGTTTTCATGTCACCTCATTGTCCACGTAGGTTGTCTACATGTACTATAGTTATGTGACTTTCTTATTACAACATTATACTTTCAAAATTATTTTAGGGTTAAATGCATAAAATAACATTCTACTTTTGTTTTTCTTTATTACAGCAATGTACTTTCAAATTATTTTTTATTAAGGCATCATACTTTAAAAAATCTACTCATTATAGCAATGGGTAACTTGTTACTTTTTAAATCGGTTAACCCCTTGACTTTTTTTGTTTGTGTGACTTTAATGAGGTGATGTGAATGACACATCATTTTGATGACTTAACTAAAATAAAAATAAAAACCTATTTCAAATTATTATTAGTGATTTTCATTTTTCATTATTATGATTTAAAAAAATATTTAATTTTTTTGACCTTTTCTTATTAAGTTGCATGTAAATTAAATTTCTTAAATAAATATGATACATTATTTTACGAGATATATTTTGTTTGTAAAAAAAATAACATTTCTTATTTTATGTTGTTTAACAAAATACATATCTTTTAAAGTTCTCTCTAAAATATTAACGAAATAAATTGTGATCTACAATTTTTTAATATTAATTATTATATTAATAAATAATTCAAAAATAATAATTAATTTAATATATTTATACGTCACGTAAAAGTTTTTGAACAAATATAATATATATTCTTTAAAAGATAATATTTTTTTGGTAAAAAAAAACAATTCTTATTTTATTTTTCCAAAAAACACATTTTTTTTTCAAAAATATCAGCGAGATAAGTTGTTTTCTCCTAGTTTTATTAATATTGGTATATTAATGAATAATTTAGAATTTTTCTAATTCATTTAATATATTTATTAAATAATATGTAAAATATCTAAATATTAAAATTAAAAGTATATTGTTTAATAAAAACTAGTAGACGCTATAATAAAATAATTTTGAAAGTATAATGTTGTAATAAGAAAGTCACATAACCATAGTACATGTGGACAACTTACGTGGACAAATGAGGTGGCATGAAAACCTGGTATAATGGATAAATTTAAATCAAAAGGTTACTCAATGTTATAATGAGTAAATTTTTCAAAATACAATGTCCTAATACAAAATAGTTTGAAAGTACATTATTATAATAAGAAAAACTGAAAGTACAATGCTATAATAAAAAAATTATGAAAGTAGATTGCTATTTTGTGCATTTTACCCATTATGAAAGTTGGTTCCATTTTGATGCATTTTTCCCTAAATTAATTATTATTTTTGAATTATTTATTAATATTATAATTAATATTAAAAAATTATAGATCACAATTTATTTCGTTAACATTTTAGAGAGAACTTTAAAATATATGTATTTTTTTAAACAACATAAAATAAGAAGTGTTACTTTTTTTACAAATAAAATATATCTCGAAAATAATGTATCATATTTATTTAAGAAATTTAATTTACATGCAACTTAATAAGAAAAGGTCAAAAAAATTAAATGTTTTTTTAAATCATAGTAATGAAAAATGAAAATCACTAATAATAATTTGAAATAGGTTTTTATTTTTATTTTAGTTAAGTCATCAAAATGATGTGTCATTTACATCACCTCATTAAAGTCACACAAGCAAAAAAAGTCAAGGAGTTAACCGGTTTAAAAGGTAACAAGTTACCCATTGCTATAATGGGTAGATTTTTTAAAGTATGATGCCTTAATAAAAAATAATTTGAAAGTATATTGCTGTAATAAAGAAAATCAAAAATAGAGTGCTATAATAAGAAAATTTATTGAAGTAAGTTGCTATTTTATGCATTTAACCCTCGGTTGTTTTCGTATCCTCTTAATAATTAACATTCTTGTTATATATATTTTTAAAGTTTAATATATTAATTTTTATAAATAAAAATATAAATAATATAAAGTTAAAATAATGGAACTCTGAAAACGTAAAGCTTGATAAAAGTTTTCGTCATAGTGTTTCCTTTAATGATCTTGTTTCCTTTTATGAGTACAGTAATGAAATTAATCTCTGTTCCAAGTGATCCACTATCTATCTTTTGTTAGAATTAAACTGTTCAATTCATGGTGTTCATGCTTAGATTCCTAACTACCCAGAACAACTAACTGTTTATAGTTTCATTTATATGATCAAGTTAATAATGATCTCTCTCTTCTCTTCCATTGTCTCACCTTTACCAGGAAAATCTGCGGGTTACCTTTCTAACTGTACGAGCAGCAATGCGGTTTATGGATGGTATGCTTTCTATGCATAAAGTTGCAAAAAAATGAAGTGAATTCGACTGGACCTCATGAGTTCTGTTTAATGCATGAAATTAATCTTTCGTTTCCAAAATTTTAACTAGCTATATTCATAATACAACAAAAAACTAATATTTGAATCCTCTTTCAGCAGGTGGCACTCATCCTGATAATCATAAACCAAAAGATGCAAAAGTTTCAGACTTTCGCAATAATCCAGATAAACTAGCATCCATGGTTCAAAACTATGATATGAAGACCTTGCTATCCCTTGGGGGAGTTGATGGAATCGCAAAAGCAGTAGAGGTATCGATAGATGAAGGAGTCAAATCAAACGATTTTTCTGTTAGACAAGAGACTTATGGTGTCAACAAATATACTGAGAAGCCTTCCAAAAGCTTTTTTATGTTTGTATGGGAGGCTCTTCATGATTTAACCCTTATCATCCTTATAGTTTGTGCACTGGTTTCAATAGGTGTGGGGCTTGCAACTGAAGGTTGGCCAGATGGAATATATGATGGATTGGGTATCCTTCTTAGTATATTACTAGTTGTTACTGTTACTGCTGTGAGTGACTACAAACAGTCCTTACAATTTAAGGATTTGGACAAAGAAAAGAAAAAGATATCCTGTCATGTAACAAGAGATGGCGGTCGAATGAAGGTTTCCATTTATGATTTGGTTGTCGGAGATGTTGTTCATTTATCCATCGGTGACCAAGTTCCAGCCGATGGGATATTTATATCTGGGTACAGCTTGTTGATTGATGAGTCGAGCTTGACTGGTGAGAGCCATGCTGTGAATATAGACAACAAGAAACCGTTTCTTCTTGGAGGAACTAAAGTGCAAGATGGCTCAGCCAAGATGCTTGTTGCAGCAGTCGGTATGAGAACCGAATGGGGAAAGTTGATGGAAACATTAAGCGAAGAAGGTGAAAACGAGACCCCTTTGCAAGTAAAGTTGAATGGTGTCGCTACAATCATCGGTAAAATTGGATTGGGGTTTGCTGTGCTGACTTTTCTTGTGTTAACTGTGAGGTTTCTGATAGAAAAAGCACTGAGAAATGAGTTTTCAAGCTGGACTTCAAGTGATGCAATGAGTATGTTGGACTACTTTGCCACTGCAGTAACAATTATTGTTGTTGCAGTGCCCGAAGGACTACCTTTAGCAGTCACACTCAGCCTTGCCTTCGCTATGAAAAAATTAATGGACGATAAAGCCCTTGTAAGACATCTTACTGCTTGTGAAACCATGGGTTCTTCTACTTGCATATGTACAGATAAAACCGGGACTTTGACAACAAACCATATGGTGGTCGACAAAATATGGGTATCCGGGAAAACGAAAGATGTTAAAGAACCTTCCGAATTATCTCAAGATCTTTCAACTACTATCTTGGAGTGTATATTTGAATGTACAAGTGCTGAGGTGGTTAAAGATAAGGATGGTAAAACTTCTATTTTGGGCAGTCCAACAGAATCAGCTATCTTAGAATACGGTTTGCTTTTGGGTGGTGATTTTAGTACAATACGTGGTGCGATTAAAGTAATAAAAATGGAACCTTTTAATTCCGCAAAAAAGAAAATGTCCGTGATTGTTTGTCTACCCGATGGTCAAATTCGTGCCTTCTGCAAAGGTGCGTCAGAAATAGTATTGGGAATGTGTGACAAGATCGTGGATGTCAGCGGAGAAGTTGTTTCCATGTCTGATGAGAAAGCAAAACTTATTACAGATGTTATTAAGACGTTTGCAGATAACGCATTAAGAACTCTTTGCTTGGCTTATTCTGATGTTGAAGATGGGTTCAATATGCAAAAAGACATACCCAAAGATAGCTATGTGTTGCTTGCGGTCATCGGTATTAAGGACCCACTTAGACCAGGGGTTAAGGAGGCGGTCGAAACGTGTTCAGCAGCGGGGATTACTGTGCGTATGGTTACTGGTGATAATATCCATACAGCCAGAGCCATAGCAAAGGAATGTGGCATACTTACTGAAGGTGGGTTGGCCATTGAAGGTCCAGAATTTCGAGCTAAAACCACACAAGAAAAGAGTATACTAGCACCAAGAATTCAGGTACAAATTTATCACTAAAAGTTGATTTTAGTTATAGGACGGAAATTGTATTTTTAAACATAAATACAGGTAATGGCTAGATCATCACCAACAGATAAGTTAGATCTTGTAAAGCATTTGAGGGGACTGTCTGAAGTTGTTGCAGTTACTGGTGATGGGACGAATGATGCTCCAGCTTTGCATGAATCAGACATTGGATTCGCCATGGGTATAGCTGGAACAGAGGTTGGTGTCTCTTTTTATCCTTTTGGTTCATAATCGTTTTCTTATAATTGATCTATACCCAAATCAAAACTTGAAATGGATATTACTCTTTTCTTGATATGAAAAAGTTTGACAAATTGCTACGAGAATTAGGACCACTTTGTTAGCAACTTAATGAGCTTGATGTGACTCACGGTTTATTCTAACACTTATATAAGATTGTTTGGTGGTGTTTTAATTAGGGCCACTTATTCAGGAGAAGCTTTATACAGAAAACCAAGTTTTTTCAGACCTGTCCCCTCCCAATTAAAAAACATGCACCTTCCATCTATGAAAAATCTCTCAAACAAAAACATTCCCAAGTTATACAGATAGATTAGTCCATACAATAACTTTATCCATACAAGATTTGTTGAAAAATCAACCAAAAAAACCCTTAGATTTGAATAGCAAAATAGGTAAGCATGTTAATTGTACTTTTGCATATTTAATTACATACTCAAAAGGAAGCTATCATATATGAATTATTAGTTGCTTTTAACATTACCTTTGTCAAATTATTTGCTCCCATTCTTTTGTCCTAAATTAGTACATATTCCCCTTTCACACACTTTTCATTAGTGGGTTCAAAAAACAACTCTACATTTTAGGATAGATCTTAGTTTGTATACATGTTATCAATTATCCTCAACAACCCACCTCCAGATGGGATATATTGTGTTAATAGAAAATAACGAAATTGGTATGACTATGAAGTATAAACATGTGGTTAAAAAATATGAAGATGAATCAACTTTTATTTTCCTGTTTTGCCAATTATGAACTGCATAGAATATGAAAAGGAAGTGACATACAGAGGAAAGAAAAGTTAAGTGGGTTCTATTACTTGTTAACCTGCTTGCCAATCATTCTGGGAGAAACTGAGGTTTTATGTGCTGCCTGGTTTTGTTCATTTTCCCTCAACACTTTAATAGAAACTATAATATGTCTAAAAGGCATTCCAGTTGAGCTTTTGTGGTAAGTTATTGTATATATTCTTACTTTGAGTTCTGAAAAACCAAACCAAACGAGGCGAGTATATCTCATTTAGAGATAAAGTCTGAGGATATCGGTTTTGTTTCTTTTTGCTTTTTTGTCAGCATGATTCGCTCTTTGGAAATAAATATTTCTATACTTGGTTCTCAACGCACCATAAACTTACAGGTTGCGAAGGAACAAGCAGATGTCATTGTGATGGATGACGATTTTGCAACAATTGTAAAAGTAGCGAAATGGGGACGTGCAGTATACATAAACATCCAAAAGTTTGTCCAGTTTCAGTTAACCGTCAATATCGTTGCTCTCATGATCAACTTTGTCTCGGCGTGCATCACAGGTGCGTTCGTCTTCATCAATACTCCTTTCACATACCCTCCTCCATGTGGGATTTAGGACCTGTTTTTTAGCAGCTTAAAGGGACTTGCAGCTTATTCAGTCAGCTATTCATGACTCTTTGGTAGTGGCTTAATAATATAGAAAGTGGCTTATTCAGTAAGCTTTTGGGACGGAGCTTTATGCAGAAAGCCAGGTTTTTTCCAAACATGTCCCTCTCTATTAAAAAACACGCTCCTTCTATCTATGGAAAAGTTCTCCAAAACAAAAATCTACCCAAACCACACAGACAACTTTATTCATACAAGACTTAATAAAAAACCAACCAAACAGTCCTTATTGTGCTCCTTTCATTTGGTTTATACTGCAATCATCTCCTCTTTGTTTTCTTATCTGAACTTCAGGGTCTGCTCCCCTTACTGCTGTGCAATTGCTATGGGTGAATTTGATCATGGACACGTTGGGTGCGTTAGCATTAGCCACTGAACCGCCAAATGACGGACTGATGGCTAGACCACCCGTTAAACAAAGCGAAAGTTTCATTACAAAGACCATGTGGAGGAATATTCTTGGCCAAAGTGTTTACCAAATGGCTATCCTATTTGTCTTGAACTTTGCCGGGAAAACCATATTGAATTTGCAAGGGCCCGATGCAACTGCCGTCCTCAATACTTTCATCTTCAACACCTTCGTCTTCTGTCAGGTATAATTTTAAAATCAAACTCATTTTGTTTCTCTTTTTAGTACATCTTCTTTTACTCAGAATATTTTCCAAAAGAGCTATTGAGTAGAGAATGGGGTTTATATATACATTGAAGTGGAAATGTCCACATCTAGCCAATATGGGACTCTAACATGCTCTTTCCGACTGGTGCTAGATCGGCACAATGTCCTAAAGTACACAGATGCCCAGCGGTAGACGTTGGCTCTGGTACCATGTGAGGTTACATGGAACCCAAGATATCACCCTCCAAAAGATCCTTGAGGAGAGAAAAGCAGGCTTAAGCATATAATGAAGTAGAAAGTAATGAGTCTAGCCAATGTGAGACTCTTGACACCTCCAATGGAGGCTAGGCAGACACCGTGTGAGGTTACATGAAACTCCATCAGATTATGTTATACCCTAGCCCAAATCGTAAACATAAACGCCCACACTGGCTAGATTCATAAACGATTACAAACAGAAACAGAATTACAGTAGCTAGAATTTCTTATTTGGAACGAATAAGATTGAAATTGTCGGCCAATCTTTATCGATACAGAATTGATACGCTTCCCAGACTTTCGAGAGGTCTGGGCATCTCTCCCTGAGCTTACGCTCTCAACAGAACTCACCAGAAAGTAAAAACAGAATACTGACTATGACTAACAGCTTCCTATTTAAGCAAAACAGAATTACCAATCTACCCCTCCCTCTTATTCGTGTCTACAGCAAAAGACTAAACAGACTCAATTAACTTCCTCTTCTATAAGTGAACCTCAAAGGAGGTTTATCAGATTACTCTCTAAAAGAGCCATTAAGGAGAAAAGGGGATTCAACATAGATTGAAGTAGGAAAATCTAGCCAATATGGGACTCTTAACACCCCCCCCCCCTCAACCCAGATAGAGGCTAGACGTGCACAAATGTCTTAGAGTGTCGAGTCTTGAGCACAGATGTCCTAGATGTAGACCATGACTTTGATACCATGCGAGATTATATGAAATTTCATTAGATTATTCTCCAAAAGAGCCCTTGAGGAGAAAAGCGAGATGGGTTTTAATATAAATTGAAGCAGAAAGGTCTAAATCTAGTTGATGTAGGACTCTAACAACTAACTAACTAACCATAATGTGCAGGTGTTTAACGAAGTAAACAGCCGCGACATGGATAAAATAAATGTTTTCCGTGGGATGTTCAGTAGTTGGATATTCATTGGTGTGACAGTATCGACCGTTGTTTTTCAAGTTATCATCGTGGAGTTCCTTGGGACTTTTGCAAGCACGGTGCCTTTAAACTGGGAACTATGGTTGCTTAGCATTGCACTAGGATCTGTGGGCATGCCAATTGCGGTTATTTTGAAGTGCTTTCCTATTAAGCCAGTTGTCCATGATGGTTACGAGATCCTCTCGGCTGGTCCAGAAAGTGTCTGATGTAAAAGGCCATAAACTTCAGTTTTGTACGATCAAACAACTCAATTCTGTCGGGATTGTTTCTTTTTTGGTGATACAAAAAGGCGAGGAAAATGTGATACAGCTCCATACCAAGCTTTGGTAAACACAGAACATACATCAGTTTCTTGCTCTTAATTTCCGATTTATGCATATGGTCTGAAATTATACATTTGTTCGAATATCGTTTGTGGGATCGAGTTATGGGGTTTTGCAGAACGTACACAAATGAGTTATGGATATGGAATGGAAGAACAATTTTGATGAACTTATAATATGTATCAAGTAAATAAATAAGACTTCATTTATGAAGAAGATTGTTGGTATATATATTTGTTAGTAATGGTTGATGGTTGGTTTGAAAATGTATGTAGAAAAGAGTGATGAATGAGAAGGGATGAGTGTAAGAGGTTGGAAGAAAGCCTGGGCTACAAATGCAAGTCCAAGTGCGATAACCGAGCTTAATCGGTGGCTATAAATACGTTGAAGAAAAGAACCACGGAATTGAAGTGACTCCTACTCCAAGTCTTTGATCTCCTCTCTCAATGGAAAGGAAAGGAAAGGATAGCAGCTTCATCAATTCCTTTACAAACCATTGCGTAAGGCCTTGCTTGCTTTGTGGCCTACGATGGAATTTAAAGAAGAGCATAAGGTCATATATTCTATGGGACTACGTTAGTTATCATGAAGGATGTATGTCTCTTTATAGCCGAGCCAACTCCAACTCATTTGGGCCCCTTAGTCTTAGTGGTTCTAACCAAGCAGCATGCAAATCCCGGTTCACCTTGGTCTAGTACTGGGTTGGCCTGGCCCAAAAAGTTTTTTTTTTCTTAATTATCTATGTCTATACTATCATTTGACTAAAACTCTTAAAAACTCTTAAACCCGTATCTGATTTTATCCCATATCTGAATTCGTGTAACTAACTGCAGATAAACACAATCAAATACAAGATAAACATTTCATTTTAAATATAAAAAATCTAAAATATAATTAGTATAATCATTAAATTCTAACATAATACTTAATTATTATCTTTATAAAATGTTATATTATTATAACCAAAAATAAATTATTTCGTTATTAAACTTAAATTAAATTATGCATAAGCACAACTTATTAAAGCTCGACGTTTGAATTCGTGTAACTAACTGCAGATAAACATGATCAAATAGAGGATAAACATTTCATTTTAAAATATAAAAAATCTAAAATATAATTAGGATAATTATCGAGTTCCAACAAAATAAATAATTATTATCTTTATAAAAAAATTATATTATCAAACCAAATATAAATTACTTCGTTATTGTACATAAATTAAATTATAAAAAAAATTGAATTAAAAAATTATACAAAAAAATGAGGAATTTCAAATAGTTAATTTGATACTAATATCGATATATTTTTGTCAAATATTTATATAATTTCAAACATATATTTTATTCAAAAATAAAAACATCATCGCTTTCTCAAAATCACATAAAGCCATATTATAACATCGACTGAGATAAAAAATAAAATGAAATATTAAAATCACGATGTATCTCGTTGCATTGCGAGTACGCTTCTAGTTATATTATAAAGCATTTGGCTAAAACTCTTAAAAACTCTTAAAACTCTTAAACTCGTTCATCCCTAAACGATTTCATCCCTATCCGATTTCATCGCATATCTGAATTCGTGTAACTAACTGCAGAAAAACACAATCAAATACATCATAAACATCTCATTTTAAATATAAAAAATCTAAAATATAATTAAGATAATCATTGAGTTCTAACAGAATACTTAATTATTATCTTTATAAAATGTTATATTATTAAATCAAAAATAAATTATTTCATTATTAAACTTAAATTAAATTATGAAAAAAAATAATCTATACTATATTATAAAACATTTGACAAAAACTCTTAAAAACTACTTTTTATGTGTAAAGTATTGTTTATTAATGCATATTACTTAAAACTCAAGATTACAAGTATTATTTTTGCGTAAGTACAACTTATTAAAGCTTCATAATTGAATTTGTGTAACTAATTGCAGATAAACATAATCAAATACAAGATAACATCTTATTTTAAATATAAAAAATCTAAAATATAATTAGGATAATTATTGAGTTCTAACAGAATACTTAATTATTATC